TACCTGTTTTGGATGTTTATGGGCTTTATTTTACATATTTATATCATTTTTGGGACTAACCTACTAACCCGAGGCCCAACCCATATTGCTGTTTTTTTTGCCTATTTCAGTATTTCGAAGAAAAGGAATATCAAACGGAGTCCAAACGGAATGAAACCTTCGGGAACATGATTTTTGGAACGAACAAGATCCGAAGAGCTTGGAGTGCAAGTCAAGAAACAACCGGAGCCTCCACGAGATAGGAGGGCGCGCCCCCCCTGTAGGGCGCGCCCCCTTGTCTTGTGGGCCCCTCGGGCGTCCACCGACATACTTCTTCCTCCTATATATACCTACGGACCCCGAAAACATCCAGGAGCACCATGAAACACAATTTCCACCGCCGTAACCTTCTGTATCCGCGAGATCCCATCTTGGAGCCTTCACTGGCACTCTGCTGGAGGGGGAATCGACCACGGAGGGTTTCTACATCAACACCATAGCCCCTCCGATGAGTTGTGAGTAGTTTACCACAGACCTACGGGTCCATAGTTATTAGCTAGATGGCTTCTTCTCTCTTTTTGGATCTCAATACAATGTTCTCCCCCTCTCTTGTGGAGATCTATTCGATGTAATCTCTTTTTGTAGTGTGTTTGTCGAGATCCGATGAATTGTGGGTTTATGATCAAGTTTATCTATGAATAATATTTGAATCTTCTCTGAATTCTTTTATGTATGATTGAGTTATCTTTGCAAGTCTCTTCGAATTATCAGTTTGGTTTGGCCTACTAGATTGATCTTTCTTGCCATGGGAGAAGTGCTTAGCTTTGGTTTCAATCTTGCGGTGTTCTTACCCAGTGACAGAAAGGTTTGCAAGACACGTATTGTATTGTTGCCATAGAGGATAACAAGATGGGTTTTATATCATATTGCATGTGTTTATCCCTCTACATCATGTCATCTTGCTTAAGGCATTACTCTGTTCTTATGAACTTAATACTCTAGATGCAAGCAGGAGTCGGTCGATGTGTGGAGTAATAGTAGTAGATGCAGGCAGGAGTCGGTCTACTTGTTATGGACGTGATGCCTATATACATGATCATGCCTAGATAATCTCATAATTATGCGCTTTTCTATCAATTGCTCGACAGTAATTTGTTCACCTACCGTAATACTTATGCTATCTCGAGAGAAGCCTCTAGTGAAACCTATGGCCCCCGGGTCTATCTCTAATCATATTTGCTTTCAATCTATCTTTATTTGCATCTTTACTTTTTGCATCTATATTACAAAATACCAAAAATATATTATTATCTCTCTTTCAGATCTCACTTTGGTAAGTGGCCATTTAGGGATTGACAACCCCTTTATTGCATTGGTTGCGAGTTCTCGGGTTGTTTGTGTAGGTGCGTGGGACTTTTGAGGGGCCTCCTACTGGATTGATACCTTGGTTCTCAAAACTGAGGGAAATACTTATGCTACACTTGCTGCATCACCCTCTCCTCTTAGGGGAAAACCAACGCTGGCTCAAGACATAGCAAGAAGGATTTCTGGCGCCGTTGCCGGGGAGGTCTTCGCTCAAGTCAAGACATACCAAGTACCCATCACAAACCCATCTCCCTCGCATTTACATTATTTGCCTCTCGCTTTCTTCTCCCCCACTTCACCCTTGCCGTTTTATTCGCCCTCTCTTTACCAATCTCCTCTTCTCTTTTTCGCTCGCTTTCTTTCGCCTTGCTTTTGTTTGCTGTTATGTCTGAAATTGGGGAGATTAACGTTGATATGGACAATAATGATAACATGAAAAATCCCGAGGCTCCGGCTGATGAACCCCCTATCTTGCATACTAAAAAGTTTCGAATCAGAAGTGGTAACATCATTGGCAAAGGCGTTATTCAAGATTTCTTTACTTGTGCCAGTGCTTTACCGTCCATGGGTTGTTCTATTCTTCATAGAACTAGTAGTCATGCGGATGCTATCGCTATGCTTGTAGTTGAACTTGAAAGACAATTCATGCATATGCATCCTTGCATACAAAGGATTTTCCTAGAATTCTCTAATATTGAGCATTCTTCTGTTAAGCGCGCTGTTACTATCTTTTTGGCTCACGAGTTTAGATTTATCATAAGAGATGCCAAAGAAATCTTTGCGCACTATAGGGTGGACGCCGATCGTCCTCCCATAGAGGCAATCCTCTATGATCAAGAGGAATTTAGGCGTTTTCAATCTTCGGACTACGTTGCTTTTAATGAAAAACTTAGCACTACAAGAAATATGTCAACTTGTGATCACCACTATTGGTCACTGAAAGGTCATGGTTTTTCATTTGCGACCTTTTTGTGACCAAAAACAGAAGGTCAAAAGCTGGCGGTCGTAAACTGACTATAGCGACCTTTCTTCTGGAATGGTTGTAGACGTTTATGACCAAAATATGTCCACGGTGGCGTTTTGGTCACTAGCAACATCCCCAGGCCACGTAGGCATCCAGCGTGGCAAGCTGATGTGGCACAAGATTCAGCCCAGTCTGATTCGGCGTTTTACATGGGCCGAGCCCAACAATTCGGCCTTTTTATATATTTTTTCTGTCAATTTTTTATCGGCTTCATGGGCCAAGCCCAACAATTCAACCTTGTTAGTTTTTGAGGCCCTTGAGCTTTTTGCAGTCCATTTCTTTTTTCTGTAAGACTTTTCATTTCATTTTTGAAATTGTTCTATGCTTGTTGGTATGTGGCCTGTTTCAGCCCAATTATTTGTCCAGTTTGGCCCAGGCAGACTTTAGCCCAATCACACACATACATCCAACATTATTTCATTCAAATTAGGAAAACTCCCAGGTTTACATAACACAAAAATAAAATATCTCCCAGATTTACATACCACAAAAAAACATCTCAGGAATACATTTCCTTACACAGGAATATACAATAAGAAAATGATGGCACATCTGCTACTATCATAACAACACAATGTACTTTTTTTAACGGAACCGTACAATGGATTTCATTGCTCTCTCTTATGCGACATGCTCTAGCTGCCACAACTTGTCATCCTACAATAAGAGAGATATAACATTAGTGGAGCAAACTATTGTCCATGCACATTAGTTTTATGAGAAAACTGATCCATGAAGCTATCTACAATGAGGCGAACGAGTAGCTCCATCCTCAGGGACTAGGCAAATCGATGATCGTGCTTGGCTAAAGCTAGGTAACACAATTCAGATTAAGAAAGCAAGAAAAAAAACCTAAACTAAACAAGGTTATTCCCGTAGATCATTGACAAAGAAAACAACAATCAACAAAGGGAGATTCGGATTTTACTCAATATCTTTTTGGTATTTTCATTATACTTGACAATCTAAAACACTAACACAAAGGGAAATAATATGACAAGGACAGTTGCATATATAACTATCAAGCATATGACAGGAGGAAGAAACAAGCTAATATGACAGGGACATAATTATATCACAACACAAACAATTATAGTAGGCATATATATCACAAACATTTATCTCACAAGAACTTGAGCTAATACATGGACTACGAATCTGAATTTATTTCTGCAGAAAAGGGAACACACCGGTGACAACACATACATGAACTGGAATTAAAAGACACAGGGTGAACTCACATATGAGCTAGCAGACCACTAATTCATAGATCAAATCAAACATACCAAATGTTTTCCAAAGCAACTAGACATCAACTAGTCAGAACACATAATAAGATGCACCATATTATACAAGTACGAGACTGAACAATTATCAGGTTGCAAGATCTTATCAAATCTGAATATTACATGTACTACACATCTCAAATTTTATAGAAATTTCAGAGAAGAGAGGGAGAAAGAGAGATTGCAGCAGCAAGATTGAGGAGAGAGCAGCAGCAAAGGGACGTTGAGAGAGAGAGAGATTCATCAGAAGGTGTTGAAGAAGGAGAAGCAGCAGGCAGAAAGTGAAGGAGAAGAAAGGAAGCAGAGGCGTGGGGAAAGCAACATCAAGATTGAAGAAGGAGGAGCAGCAAGGACGTGAGGATGGGGAGCAGCAATAGTTTTGGGGATAGAAGAAGAAGACATCAGCAGCAGTTATGAGAAAACTCATCCTACAATGAGAGAGAACTATCAAAGTGTTTTATTAACCTCTAGGTTAAAACAACCACATTTTTATTGTCACTTGTTAGTCGGAAAATATAGCTATCTCTCCTGTGTAAATATGTACATGTTGGCATTAAATGAAAAAAATGGGTATGAACAAGCATGCGCTGCTGTACAATAATGAATGAGAACAATCAGGTACTGGCAGGGGTATATGGCTGCACCATCAGTCAATGCAGGACACTGCCAGGAGCGTAAATGCAGCAGCAACCCTTCCGACATTTGAGAGCACTCTCACTGTGCTATAATTAACTGCATTTTCATTTCCAGCAACACTTATGAAGCACTTAGTTCTAAATAGCTGTTCTAAATATGCAGTTTCTAAATTACAAATCTCTGTTTTGATCGTCCAATAGTCAGACACGACAGCAACATGGCAGGCAGACAACATCATATATGAGACAAACTACTAGAGGATACACATGTACACCGAACAACACCTATCAATGCTCAGTAGCTGCACCTTGATACACAGAGTGAAAAAAGAGGTAAATCACCTCCACAAACACCAGCACCTTGAGAAGGAATTATACAAGGAATTGTGCCAAAGCACGTATTTAATCATGCCTAAAATACATCACATCCACATCGCGCACCAAATTAACATAGGAAGCAGGGGAGTAGGTCGATGTACCAATCCATCACCTTGAGTAGGGGAAGAGAAGAAGCAGAGGAGGAAGGTCCATGGTGTCCCTCCCAAGCAGTAGCACAACACATCACGCCTTCATCTCCCATGGTGACGTCCTGGTTCAAAAGAGAGATGAGAAGGGGGTCAGACAGAGAGTGGAAGAAGAAAAGACGAGGGGAGGAGAAACGGATTCATACCTTTGAGCCTTGCGGTTGGAGCTGCTCATTTGCCACGGCCCATGGCCAGTGGTAGGAATCCCGAGAACAAGAACACGGACGGACGGAGTTGCTCCATGGCGCCGAGGCAGGGGAGGAAGCGGCCATCGTCCATGACGTCCCGGTGCTCGAGCGAGGACGGCATCCTAGATCTGGGAGGCAGAGACGACGAACTAATGAAGTTAGGAATGGCTGTGAGGAGGAGATGGAGTAGATGGACGCACCTGAGTCGTCGGAGCCACGCCGACCGAAACCCTAGCGACGGGAGCCGGTCGCGGTTGGCACTGGAGGACGCGCGTGACGGATCTCGACGGGGAACGCCAGCCTCCCCAAGTCGTGCCTGCTCGATCCGGAGGGAGGGAGTGGGGGCGGGGCCGGCGACGCCTGCTTGATCCAGAGGCAGGGAGGTGGGAAGGAGGGATTACTGCTGGATCTGGCCATGAGATGAGCGGATCTGTGCGGGGGGGTGGAAGGCGAGGGTGGGGCTGGAGGTGGAGGCCGCATGGAGGCGGGCGAGGACGGGGTGCACGCGGAGGCTGGAGCTGGAGGCCGCGCGGAGGCGGACGGCGGTGGCTCTGAGGGAGGGAGAGACGAGGCGGCGGCGATGGGGAAAAGGGAGCGGCAGCGGCGATTGGGAGAAGGGGCTAGGGTTTCGTGGGTGGACGAGGATGAGAGGGATACGGGGTGATTTGGGAGAGGGTGAGAGCGACGAGGGGGGGTGTGGGCTGCCGTTGGATCTGGGTGCCTCCGACGGTGCTTAATTCATGATCCGCGTGAGCTGATTTTAGACCAATCAGAACGCAGTATCCCCTTTGCTGATGTTAAGACCATTTAAATTGGTCATAATCGACTGAAAAGAAGATTTTGAATCATGTCTCCTATTTGACGACCTAAGAAATTTATAAAAATAAATAGAAATAAAAAACCTTCGCATTGTGTCACCAAGTCTGACCTACTTTTCAGTAAAAATAACAAACTCTGAATAATGTAGATATCATTAAAAAATCATTTTCCATTTTTTAGTGCTCATAATGAGTTCTTTTTTGTAAAAGACCTACCAAATATTTGTTCAAATGATATTCTTTATATTCTTTATATTTTTTCAACATGAGTTCTTTATACTCTGCAAAAGTTTACATCTTGGAATAGTAAACAGTATCGGCAAAGGGATTTTTTATATTCTTTGCACAAAAAATCATTTTCCATTTTTCGAGTGCCCCAAATGAGGTTTTTTTGTGAAGGACCTACCAAATAATTGTTGCAAAATTGGACCAAATCATTTTTATAAAATACTAGGCCACATTTAATGCACAATTGACCAAATGGTTGGGTGAAAAAAGTTTTGATCCACCTCTCGTGAAAAAGACAAATTTCCACCGATTCAGTTGGAAGCGGGTCATTTGAACTGTAGCTACCTCGTAGTTTGTTCTTTATTTTTTCCAAAAATAATTTCTAGGTACATAAGTATCTATTTAAACAGAGAAACACCCAAAAAAATCCAAGATTAACCCACTAGCTAGGAACGGTCAAGCCCGCCGTTTTGACCGCATTTTGAAACGGGCATAAAAAATTCAAAAAAAATCAACAAATTGGAAAACCTTCGCATTGTGCCATTATATGTGACCAAGTTTCTAGGAAAAATAATAAACTTGTAATACGGTAATTATTTTAAAAAAGTGTTCTCAGAAATGAGCTATCATGCGTGAAGATTCATGGCTTTCAAGCCAAATGATCAATCTTATGGCCACATTCACGGCATAGTTTGTTCAAATGATCTCATATTGTGCACAAGGGTGCATCTTGGAATTCCAAACAATGTTGCCTAAGGAAGTTTTTATTTTCTTTGCACAGAAAATTCATTTTTCATTTTCCGAGTGCCCAAAAGGAGGTTTTTTGTGAAGGACCTACCAAATAATTATTGCAAAAATGGACCAAATCATTTTTATAAAATACTAGGCCATATATAATGCACAATTGATCAAATGGTTGGGTGAAAAAAGTTTTGATCCACCTCTGGTGAAAGAGACAAATTGTCGTCGATTCAGTTGGAAACGGGTCAAAATTTGAACTGTAGCTGCCTCATAGTTTGCTCTTTATTTTTTCCAAAAATCATTTCTAGGTACATAAGTATCTATTTAATTAGAGAAACATCAAAAATTTTCCAAGATTCAACCACTAGCTACGAACGGTCAAGCCCGTCGTTTTGACCGCATTTTGAAACGGGCATAAAAAATTCAAAAAAATCAAAAAAAATGGAAAACCTTCGCATTATGTCATTATATGTGACCAAGTTTCTAGGAAAAATAATAGACTTGTAATACACTAATTATTTTAAAAAAGTGTTCTCAGAAATGAGCTATCATGCGTGAAGATTCATGGCTTTCAAGCCAAATGATCAATCTTATGGCCACATTCATGGCATAGTTTGTTCAAATGATCTCATATTGTGCACAAGGGTGCATCTTGGAATTCCAAACAATGTTGCCCAAGGAAGTTTTTATTTTCTTTGCACGGAAAATTCATTTTTCATTTTCCGAGTGCCCAAAAGGAGGTTTTTTTGTGAAGGACCTACCAAATAATTATTGCAAAAATGGACCAAATCATTTTTATAAAATACTAGGCCATATATAATGCACAATTGATCAAATGGTTGGATGAAATAAGTTTTGATCCACCTCTGGTGAAAAAGACAAATTGTCGTTGATTTATTTGGAAATGGGTCAAATTTGAACTGTAGCTGCCTCATAGTTTGCTCTTTATTTTTTCCAAAAATCATTTCTAGGTACATAAGTATCTATTTAATCAGAGAAACATCAAAAGTTTTCCAAGATTTAACCACTAGCTAGGAACGGTCAAGCCCGCCGTTTTGACCACATTTTGAGACGGGCATAAAAAATTCAAAAAAAATCAAAAAAATGGAAAACCTTCGTATTGTGTCATTATATGTGACCAAGTTTCCAGGAAAAATAATAAACTTGTAATATGGTAATTATTTTAAAAAAGTGTTCTCCGAAATGAGCTATCAAGTGTGAAGATTCATGGCTTTCAAGCCAAATGATCAATCTTATGGCCACATTCATGGCATAATTTGTTCAAATGATCTCATATTGTGCACAAGGGTGTATATTGGAATGGCAAACAATGTTGCCTAAGGAAGTTTTTATTTTCTTTGGACGAAAAAACCATTTTCCATTTTCTGAGTGCCTCAAATGAGTTTTTTTTTGTGAAGGACCTACCATATATTTGTTGCAAAATTGGACCTAATCAATTTTATAAAATACTAGGCCATATTTAATGCACAATTGACAAAATGGTTGGGTGTCAAAAATTTTGATCCACCTCTGGTGAAAAAGACAAATTCCCGTCGATTCAGCTAGAGGCGGGTAAAATTTGAACTGCAGTTGCCTCATAGTGTGCTCTTTATTTTTTACAAAAATCATTTCTAGGTAAATAAGTATCTATTTAGTCAGAAATACATGGTTTGATGGCGAGACATCGAGGTTTGGACGGTGGCCGAGGGCCCCAACTCTAGAGCGCGTAAGCTCGCATGCCCGCCGCGTGGTCACCGCGTGACCGTGGCGTTGCCATGTGTTCTGGGCGGCCTAGGCATGTCTAGTGGGTTGGTCACTCCCTAGGTAGGTTCTAGGAAGAAAATCACAACATAAGATTCTCACGAGGAGACCGATCGATGCTCAAACATGAATAAGCAGCCAAGTGTTTGATTTGCAGTACGGGAAATGCACATGGCTAATGGGCGTGAGTTTCGATTGAGGATGATCAGTTACTAAGAAGACCGTCTTCACAAATTTTCACCTCAAAAGGAGGAGCCTAGGTGGTACTTGATTTACAAAGTACCACACTGGACATAAATACGAATGTTGAAGCTGGGCTCAAAATAATGAATGGATTGAGCTGGCATTTGGTGGAGGATGGTTATTTGGGCATAGGAAAGTACTGTAGAAAATGGATACCATTTGGACATGCCAAAGTGGTACTTCCTTCACAAAGTGCTGCTCTGAATAGAATAGGAAAATGAATATTTTTGAATTATTTTTGAACTAGGCAAGGAATGTTTTTGACATATTTGATGAAGATATGATCCAAAACATTTATGAGAATTTTTTGGGCATTTTTGGAATAACAGAAATATAGGTTGCTTCACAACCTAGGGCAAAAACTGCCACATGGACATGACACATAGGCAAAACTGATGAGATGGCGCCTAGTCATCACAACCCACCACAATCTACAAGGCTATGACCATCTATATTGGTCATTAACAACTAGAAATAAGGCAGTGGACTAGCACTGTTTGCTTTGTGACCATTTCGCGTAAGGAAATTACGACCTTTCTGACCAAAATGGTTGCAATGGTTTAGGGTTTGGAGCCCCCCGAAGAGCTATTGACCAATTGGTCTGAAATGGTCATAGATCTATGACCAATTCTTCCAGGGTCACTGACAGAAGGTCACTAGTTGACATATTTCTTGTAGTGTAGAAAAAAGGTTCCTACCAATGTCTTGGTTGATTGCATTAACGAACTTAATAATGATTTTGCTCTTTGAAACAATGAGCTAGGATACTCTCTTGAGTATAGGCTCACAAGATTTTGCCAAAAGAATTCTTTTAGTGATGAAATAGTTGTGCACTATGAAGGGCCAAAGGAAGAACCCGTTCCTCCTGTGATTGATCTTGGGGACATTTGTCCCACTAAATTTAGCCCTTTTGATTACTTTTGCTTGCCTCAAAGAAAACTTGCCGCCGAAGGTAGAGAATATGAGATGAGCCTTCAAGATCTATCTTATTATTATGGCACTCGTTAGATCTATCTTCGCTTTTATGCCTAGCTAGGGGCGTTAAACGATAGCGCTAGTTGGGAGGCAACCCAATTTTTCTTTATGTTTTTTGTTTTTGCTCCTGTTTAAGAATAATTCTTGCATCTACTCTATGTTTAGATGTGTTTTTATCTTTTAGTTAGTGTTTGTGCCAAGTAGAACCTATAGGATAACCTACGACGATAGTTGATTTGATTCGGCTGAAAAACAGAAACTTTGCGCTCACGAGAAAAAATTCAATAAATCACAGAAACGTTCTTTTGCATTGATTCTTTTTTCTGCTGACCAACAGACCAATTTTCCAGTACGTCCTATTTTGGTAGGATTTTTAGAGTTCCATAAGTTTGCGTTAGTTACAGATTGCTACAGACTGTTCTGTTTTTGACAGATTCTGTTTTTCGTGTGTTGTTTGCTTATTTCAATGCATCTATGTCTAGTAAATTAGTTTATAAACCATAAGGATGTTGGAATACAGTAGGTTTAACACCAAAATAAATAAAGAATGATTTCATTGCAGTACCTTATGTGGTGGTTTTGTTTTCTTTCACTAACGGAGC